CCTGTGGGGACACAGAGCACAGGGTGCGGGTGGTGTGCTCCAGGTCAGGGAGAGGACCTTCCGGAGGGGACAGTGGCGGTGACCGGGAGTCACAGCAGTGTCTGGAAGCTGAGGGGAGCGAGCGGACGTATTTTTAGGGTGATGGCATAATATGGAAGAAATGTGTCCGCCTGATGCATGGGTCGGCTGGAATGCCAGACAGCTCTCGGCTAAATTTAGCAGATGTGTTCTTCAGTCAAGAGCCGTGGCAGCTCATATACACTGCAGAGCCTCCGGGAGCACCGCCTGGCACGCCCGCAGAGGTGCCCGCGTGCGAGCCTGCTGTCCCTGGGGGCTTTTGGGGAAGCTGTTTTGTTTTCCCTTGAACTTAATTAATTTAGAAACCAACAAAGATTGCACACGAAACACCCAGGGCCGAGTTTGGCTGTGTGTGAGCAGGAAACCTAATTGAAATCCTGGGTCTGGGAAGAAGGGAGGGGTGAGGTGAGGGGGACTGAGACCCGGCGGGCACTGGACAGGCCCGCCCCTGCCCTGGATCGGCCTGGCCCCGGGGCGAACGCACCTCACAGATTTCACATTTGAAATAATGCCCTAAACAACCACGTATTCAAAGTATTCATGGAAGCTGCATCAGGAAGAAAAATCAATCATTTTGGTTTTGGGCCGTCGTTTTCTCCACTTTCATACATTAAACTGTTTTGACTTTCTAATCCGTTAGGGGCTGTGTGTTTATGAAATTTGCAGAATCTATGAAATGTTTAAGAAGAAAACAGCTCTTCAAACTGGATGGGGTGCATCAGCTGGACGCTCTGGCTTCACGAGGCAGGGCCTCAGGAGCCCCATTGTTTTACAGACAGTCTTGCTGGGGGCGCCCTCACAGTGGGACCTGGGGGAGACCGAGACGGAGGCCAGTATTGCCGAAGGAAGCCACCCTGCACGCCGGTGCTGGTGCTAGGAGGTCGGCAGATGGGCAGGGAGAGCGGAGGCCACAGGACCTCAGGAAGGCTACTGTGCTCCCCGTCCTCGCCTCCCTGACCTGTGCTCCCCGTCCTCGCCTCCCTGACCTGTGACCTGTGCTCCCCGTCCTCGCCTCCCTGACCTGTGCTCCCCGTACTCGCCTCCCTGACCTGTGCTCCCCGTCCTCGCCTCCCTGACCTGTGACCTGTGCTCCCTGTCCCTCGCCTCCTTGACCTGTGACCTGTGCTCCCCGTCCTCGCCTCCCTGACCTGTGACCTGTGCTCCCCCTCCTCGCCTCCCTGACCTGTGACCTGTGCTCCCCGTCCTCGCCTCCCTGACCTGTGACCTGTGCTCCCTGTCCTCGCCTCCTTGACCTGTGACCTGTGCTCCCCCTCCTCGCCTCCCTGACCTGTGACCTGTGCTCCCCGTCCTCGCCTCCCTGACCTGTGACCTGTGCTCCCCGTCCTCGCCTCCCTGACCTGTGCTCCCCGTCCTCGCCTCCCTGACCTGTGACCTGTGCTCCCTGTCCTCGCCTCCCTGACCTGTGACCTGTGCTCCCCGTCCTCGCCTCCCTGACCTGTGACCTGTGCTCCCCGTCCTCGCCTCCCTGACCTGTGACCTGTGCTCCCCGTCCTCGCCTCCCTGACCTGTGACCTGTGCTCCCCGTCCTCGCCTCCCTGACCTGTGACCTGTGCTCCCCCTCCTCGCCTCCCTGACCTGTGACCTGTGCTCCCCGTCCTCGCCTCCCTGACCTGTGACCTGTGCTCCCCCTCCTCGCCTCCCTGACCTGTGACCTGTGCTCCCCGTCCTCGCCTCCCTGACCTGTGACCTGTGCTCCCCCTCCTCGCCTCCCTGACCTGTGACCTATGCTCCCCGTCCTCGCCTCCCTGACCTGTGACCTGTGCTCCCCCTCCTCGCCTCCCTGACCTGTGACCTGGGCTCCCACCTCCTGGTCCCTGAACCTGTGCAGCTCTGTGGTGCCTGCAGAGGGGACGTGCCAGGATGCAGCCGCCAAGCAGACAGACACACTCAGCCTCCAGGCGACAGAGATGCTACAGGTGGATCTGTCTCCGTGCGGCTCAGGGCTCCCACCACCCACATGAGGAGGAGGTTAACCCGGCGGAGAAACCCCGCGGCCGAGAGGACGCTCTTGGGCTCATCTCAGGCAGGTGGAGCACGGCTGCCAGTGGAGAGAACTGCCTCTCCTGCCCCCACCCATGGGCGACCCTGGCGTCCCGGCCCAGGAGAGGCAGTGCTGCCGGGCGAGGAGAGGGTCCCTCAGAGGCAGTGGGGCCTCGGCCTCACCTGGCTCCTGTCCTCGGGGTCACGGTAGCCGCACGCATCCATGAAGTCCGGGAAGGTCTGCGACCAGCCCTCGCTCGTGCAGTTCTTGCTGATGTTCCCTGGAAGGTAGAGTGCCGGCATCGGAACAGAATGTCATTCTTTCCTGCAGCCGCCCCCCCCCCCACACACACACACTGTACAGGGGTCAGCCGGTCTGTTCTCCGAGTCTTTACCCTGAACACCTGCCCAGGTTCCCACAGCCTCCCAACTCCAGGGCTCTTCTCTTGTCCATGTTTCCAGACAGATTTCTTCATGTTACTAAAATCTGGGCCGTTTAAGACAAGGCCAAACCAAACCCCCTTCCGGGGAGCAGCCCAGAGGCCCTGCAGCGAGGGAGCCTGGGAGGCACCTTTCCAGGTGCTGGAGACTCAGAGGGAAGCAGGTGCTCGAGTCTCAGAGCCCGTTCAGGGCGGAGGCCGCTGCCGTCCAGCCTCACGCCCCGCGCCTCCCTCCCTCCCTCCAGGGTCACGGCCAAGGTTACTGCACTCCCCTGCCTGCCCCACACCCCCTCCAGGGCTCTGGTCTGCGGGTCTGGCGCCTCCCCCTAAGGCTGCTCTGAGGGGAGACCCAGCCGGAAGCTCTCCTTCTGCGCCTAAACCCAGGGGCCGCAGGGAAGGAGAAGCCGACGGCCAGGCGCCCCTCAGACACGCACGGACCAAGTACCTGGTTTGCTGTGGAGGCTGCTGAACACCTTGAACACCGTGGGGCAGGGCACCGTGACGGTCTCGCCGATGTCCGCGGGGCGCCAGCACGTGAGGTTGTCCCAGACTCCGCTGCAGGCTGCAGGGCGGGAGTGAGGGGCAGAGGCACAGTGGCCCCAGAGGGTTGGGTCTGTGTAAATGCTTTGCAAACAGAAAGCCCGTTCATTAGATAATTATCTTGCAAATTATTTTTCTGTGAAATAAACATGCACCAACGATATTACTGAGAATAGCCATAGCTGTGTGCTCCTTCTCATCAGCTTTGCAAAACCACTGGGCCTGCGGTAGGAAGCCCCGAGTGAGCCAGCTGCACAGTTCTTCTGAGCGTCAATAGAATCAGTAAATGTTTCCTGCTGATGTGATCAAATGGGCACCTCTGTGTCTCAGGTTTGGGGGCTCAGGGTCCCCTGGGCCTGTTTCTGTCACCAAGATGTCAGGCCACTTTTAAGAGCAAATGCCTCAGTACCCCTCCACCCGGAGCCACAAGCAGAGTTTCGGGGTGGGGGTGGAGGGGGCGCAGAGGTGCCCCGAGCCCTCGCCTCTACAGCGCCCCTCCCCGGAGTCCCCCGCCTGCAAACGGCAGGGCTGACGAGGAGCTCCCTCCTGTGCAGGACCTGGTGCGGCCGGTCACCTGTGGGCACTTACTCGTAAACACCCGGCAACCCCAATACTTCCGTCCAGGTGACCACGGCCAGGCCCCTGACCAAAGCCAGGAGTACAGTCCCAAGAAGAGCCCAGTTGCTGAATTGTGATAAACCACAGGCAGCATTTCAAACCCTCTCTCCACAGAAACCCTCTCCACAAACAGCCCTCCCAGCCGCCCCTCCCCAGTGGGTAGGCCGCTGGGGAAGTGACCCGTGGCTCGCCCGGTGCAGGGCGCCTGGTCCCAGCTCTGGGAGGGACCTGTCTTTGGGCCGTAATGACATCCTATGACATGTTATATGTCATGTACATATCGAAGTTTTTACAAAACAGGGCATTGTATGTACCACCCTCTTCCTTGCTCCTGCTTCACAATATGTCACACGTGTTTTCATGCTGTGCACCTTCATGTTTAAAGGCTTCCTGATATTCCATGGTGTGGCTTCAGCACAATTACCCCCATTTCCAAGCCACCAACACCCAGAATATTTGTGACATAAACAGTGTTGGGAGTTCCTTGGGAGTCTAGTTATTCAAACTTAACAGGTGCCCCAGGGCTTGGACTTGTCCTGTCCTTGTCCCCTCGCCATGAATGCTGGCCGACAGCGTGTGACGGTGAGTCGTGAAGTAAACCCAGGCATGACTCGCCAACAGAGTAAAGTGTGAACTAGAATCTAACAGTGACGGCAGCGCCAGACTCCCCGCCGACTGCAAAGGGAAAACAGAGCTTTACAGTCAGCATCCGGGGCCACTACCTCCCGAGGGACCAAACAGCTTCCGGGCCGTCGTGGGACGTGTGGTGGGAGCCACAGCGAGGACGTCCTCCCTAAGGAGTCACATCCAAATCGCAGAGCGGTGGCCCGAGAGTCCCCCGAGGGAGGCCTGTCTGGCCACGGAGGCCACGAGCGAAGGGCCCAGAGAGAGCGAGGTGGCTCCGGGAGGCGAGTGAGGCTGGGCTGCGGGGCCACGCGCAGCGGTCCAGCAAGGCCTCCAGCTGGCCCTCTGCCTGCTGGTCTCAGTCACCTCAGTCCTTTTAACCTCAACCGGATAAAAACCGGCAGCAAAGCTGAGCAGATGTTCCCACACGCTTTCCACCACCGGGCGGGTCTGGACGGCTGGGGTCTGAGTCCCTCCGTGGATGGAAGCAGAGGGGCCTCCTCTCTGCCCACCAGGGGCCGAACAAGGAGACGCCCAAGGTCCTCCGACCTGACAGTCTTTAGAAAGATGAGTGACCTCCAGGTTGGTCAGCGCCTCTGGCTGCTTCCTGTCCCAGAACCCTAGCCTGTCACCAACCTAAAGGCCTCAGAGCCAAATGGAGTGACTCACCAATGGGGTTGGCAAATTCCCTTTTAAAAAGCGGCTATGTCCTTCCCCGTGAACCTGGCCATTTGCTGGAACCTGACTCCCAGCCAAGCAGACTCCGCTGCTGGCGGATGCAGGCGGCCCGGAGGAGGTGCTGTCTGCTGCCTTGTCCCTTCAGGGAGGCACCCAGAGCAGTAAACACAGGCCTGTCCTCTGGCCCGGGGCTTGGAAGCGGGGCAGCATGCACCCCTCATAGCAGATGCCCCAGGTTAGTGGGCACCGGGCGTCCAAAGACCACAGACAGGGTGCCCTGTTCTCTGACCTCGCCCTGCACAGCCATCTCCCTCAGGGCCTCGGGGCCCTATAGACCAAGCATGTCAAACTCATGGCCCGCAGGCCTCATGCAGCCCACAACGAATATTTTTGCGGCAAAGCCAATATAACAGTATGTAAGAAACATTTTAATAAAAATTTCATAACTTAATTTTTACAATATCCCATTATACATAATCTATCTATAATAATAAAAGCATAATATGCTAATTAGACTGGACATTCTTCCAGACGACCTTCCGGATGAAGCCTGGGCTGAGAGGGAAGCCAGTGCTGGCAGCCAGGGGAAGGAAGGCCTACTCTTGCATGAATTTCGTGCACCGGGCCTCTAGCAATATATAAAAGGCTAATACGCGAAGTGTCTGACCGTCTGGTCGCTATGACGTGCACTGGCCACCAGGGGGCAGATGCTCAATGCACGAGCTGCCGTGACACACACAGAGAAATGGCACTGTGGACCTGGTGCCCACAAAGCAATACTCAGCTTCCTCCAAGTTGGACAAAGGCCTTGCCACCACCCCAGAGCAACAGCCCACCAAATCGCATCTGACGCTGCCCAGACCCCATGGTGCAAAATGCAGCCCACAGTCCAGAAACAGTAATGACATCACATAGCAACACCCAGCTTCCTCTCCCTAGCAACTAGCCTCCTTGGAGTTTCTTCAGTCCAGGAACATGACTTGCTTTATAGCCAGGTAGAAACATTTTACACTTTAACCAAATGTCTGTGAAGCATTTTCCCGAGCCTCATCTCATTTGATCCTCACAGAAGTCCTGGAGTGGGTAGATAGAAGACTCAGTGGAATCCTATTTTCTTTTCATTAGCCAGAAAACGGAGATTTAGAAAGCTTAGAAACTTGACCAGACTGAAAAGAAGTAAGAAATGGTGGACCTTGAAAATGACTTCAGGTTTTCTCACTGCGCAGAATATAGTCAAACACTGCTGCAGTTAAATATTTCACCCTTTGTTCTCCCTGCATTATCTACACTAATAAAAGAGAAACATGGTAATTAGCGCTCGACCGCTACCCTTTTCATTGACTAATCAGTGAGTATATGCAAATTAACTGTCAGCCAAGATGGCGGCCGGCAGCCAGGCACTGAAGCGAGCATGAGGCTTGCTTGCTGCGGATTCCAACGTTCCCCGCCTCACTTGCCGGCCTCTTAGTTGCAACTCTAAGCAACTATGTACTATGTTGCAAATAAGAAGGTAAACAAAACCCCAGAAATCAGCCGGACTGAAACCCAGCCTGACCGAAACATTGTATCCATGTTTTCAGCAGTGAGGCCTCAGAGCTAAAGCTGGCCCAGAATAAAAAAAAAAAAAGAAGAAGAAAACAAGGAGCTGTTGGGAGCTTTAGTCACTCGCCAGCTGGAAAACAGCCCTCAGCCCCTCACCCAGACTGGCCAGGCACCCCAGTGGGGGACCCCCACCCTGATCCAGGACACCCTTCAGGGCAAACCAGCCAGCCCCCACCCCATGCACCAGGCCTCTATCCTATATAGTAAAAGGGTAATATGCCTCCCGGCACCGGATCAGTGGAGCAGTGAGGCTCCCGGCACTGGGATCAGCGTGACAGGGGGCACCG